AGAGAAGGGGAATGGAACTTTGTTAGGGTCGCTGTTTTTTGCGCTGTGCTATTGGCCAGCCGGGAAGTGGCGCGGGGAGGGGGGCGCTGACCAATAAGAGGCTCCTGGAAGGGCAAGATTGGGGTGGGGGGGAGGCGTCTTTTACCAGAAAAAAGCGCTTGTGGAGTTTTCTACTTCAGGTGACACAATACCTTGACTAGTTGACCTCGCATTGGTGGAGTGTCAGTTGCTCCTCCCTCTTAGACAATAAAATGATTTTGGGTGGCCCTGAACGCAGATAAGATACCAGGCCTTGAATGCAGAGTAGCAGCCAATCTTATAAATGTTCAGAAAAGAGAGATTTCGAACTCAAGCAAATAGGTACATATATTGTGTGGCATAAGATTCCTTAACCCAGGGTCCTCCTGATTTGTTAGATTACATATAGGTCCAAAACATCTGGAAGGCAGCAGTTTGGGCAATGCTGTGCTCAATTGTGACTGAACAACCATATTAATCTTGGGGATCTATTTGGCACTAAATTGAGGAGATGCACACGTGGTGCACACACCTATTCCCCTGTCCTCTCTCACAGGCTTCTCACAGCTATTCAGCTCAGGATATTTCTTACCTTCCAGTATTACATGCAGCAAAACAATTCTGCCCCGACGTCTAGGCCTACCATATCTGGGCTGCAGAAACCCCAGAGGACCACTAGATGGCAGCAAAGAGGCCTTTTTAGTATCTTGCAGCCCAGAGTTTGTGGGCCTACCAAGTCCATTTATTGAATGATCAGGTGAACATTAAGGAAGAGTGGTTGGGGCCTTTATGGCTGACTCTTTGTTTAACACTTTAAAGAGACCATGGTTTGGCATGAGTTGGTTGTTTTATTTTTTGTCTGTAAAACAAAGGCAGCAATGCTAAGACTACTGAACCACATTTGGCTGCAGATCTCTAGATGGCCACTAGATGGCAGCAAACAGATACAGAAAACTCCCACCGTCTAGATTTTTGCAGCCCAGTTTGGCTAACCTTTAACAAAGTAAGGGTGGGCTGGGGATTATTTTGCTCCCCATAAAAGGACTGCTCTTTGACTCATTCAGAGTTCTTGGTAGCTGCACTGAGAACAATAGCAGCTGATTGTGAAACTGGTTCATAGGTTTTGGAGAGTGACAGTGGCGGATGTGAAGAGGCCGGGAATGTACATACAGTGAAGGCAGAAGCAGCAGCTGCCTTGGGGACTGCAAACCTCTCCTTTGCTATGCTTTCAACAGATTTGATCACATGGAATAGTGCCATTATATATTGGCTGCAAAAATCCAGATCACCACAAGGCATCACATTGTTATAGAGAACACAAGCTCTTTGCCATCACTGAATGGTCCTCTGAATATTTGCAGCCTAAATATGGTTCCTGAAGCACAGGATTTCCTTATGAGCCAAAATGGAAGAGCGGAGCAGAAGGAAGGGAGAAGTGAGCCAGGGAAGAACTGTCCCACCACAAAAGACATGTTGATGCTGTCTGGCTCAAAAGCTCCAGAATTTATCAGAGAAGTCCTTGCTCTTATCTTCTCTAACTTGGAAAGCTTCTTACCCAACAACACCCCTAAAGCATTTGTTTCCAAAAAATGTTAACCACCAAACGATGGGTAGAAAAAGGGATTAGCAGACTTGTTTTTATTTCTCCTAAATTTTAAAGTCTTCCCATGCCCTGGAACCCCTGCCCCATGTGATTAACATTCGGCAGGCTTTATCTGCAAGTGGAAACCACGTGTAGAAAGATGATCTATCTATGCGTCTGTCTTATCTATCTGTTGCTATAGGCACTTTACTTTTGTAAATGTCAACATCAAAACCAAATGTGTCCAAAATTTGTCAGGCTTCATTATAAATCTCCATGCAATTTTAGGACAGGAAAGGGCAGGAGACAGGTTGAGTGGCAGAAGTACTTTCATATTCTCCTTCCTTTTACCTGGAGAGTTTTCTCTAGTCCCAAACTCAGATACCTTTGAGCCATACTACAATATCAAATCATTTTTTAAATTATACAAAGACATTACTGGTTAAAGAAATATTTATTTGTAGTGTTAATATTATGTACAATTCAACATAATATAATATTTTGATGTACCATTCAACATAATATTTTCTACAGTACCTTTTTACAAAATGAGAACAGCCAGCATGTTTTATACTTTCAAAAGTTTGTACATAGTACATAATAATGTCTTGTTTGTCTTTCAATAGTTTGTCCTATAATTATTACTTCTGTGTCTGAAAATTTGAGTCTAAAAATAGATTTTCTTTATTTTTCAGATTTGCTTTCCAATATAACATGACAAATTAGACATCCATAAAAGTCAAGTTCCATTTTAAGATTTTATTCAATTACTTAATAGTTCTAAGACAGGTGAAAAAGTTAAGAACTATAATTAAGCATATTTTATGTTATGCCCATTTTTACTTTATTGCAAGCAACCTGCATTTACTTAATATAAAGACTTAAAAAACACACTGCACTGATGTTACATTAGATTATAATAAAATATCTGGTTTTCTATTTTTTAATGAATGCATCTCTTTCCATCTAATGATAGACTAAAAAATCCAAATGTGCCAATTATTTCCATCTCCTGTAGTTGGAAGAATATCAAATAAAGTCAGGTACTGAACTTTAATGACTGACGCAGTGGGAAACTTGTGGATCACAGGTGGTCTCCAGGACTTTTTTCAAGCCCTGGAGCCCTCTAAGATTGCTCTGCTAAATCAAGCAATAAATCACTGAATGACAGCCACAAAATTTTCCAGGGGAGGCATGTCTTTTTTTTTAATGAGAAGTAATAATTAAAATAGGTATGTTTAGCTTCAAATACTTTAATGTATCATTTTTACTTTTTAAAAAAATTACTTTAAAAACTCCTTGAAGGAATGAAAATCCCAGCTTGGTCCTTTCAATAACAGCCTCTCCTGTTGCCAAAACAATGATAGTAAATTAAAGGTAGTCCCCAGCCATAAAGGTTGGCTGTACCTGGACTAAAGTTTTATTTAATCACATTTAAATAATTTGTTATCTATATTAGTTTCTGAAGCTTTGCTTAAATATGTCTATACCAGTTCCTAGTGAAACTGTTGAGCTGTTGGTTTATCAGAAGTCTGGACACCTGGCTATAAAGACAGAGCCCAGGCAGTCCCTGCTCAGTTGCCTGTGGTCTGCATAGCAGACCACCTTGAATCTCATGATGCCAGCCACAGTTGCCAGTGAAATGTTAGAAAATCTGTTGTCTAGACCACAGTCACTAAACCTTGAAGCCCAACACTGCCTAACAGATACCAGCCATAAAAGCCTACTCCTAGTGAATCTGTTCCTCAAACATTCCAAGATTCCTCTTTCCTCTTTGTTTCCTATAACTTAATCTAAAAAAAGAGATTAAAACAGTACAAAACTTATACTGTAATCCTATGACCTAAAGGACTTTGGGAACCACAGGATTTGCCCTCTAAGGAGAGGGCTCTGTCCTTGATGTGAAAACTCTTCTTCAAGACTCAATCAGACTCTTTCTGATGACTTTCTGGGGAAGTTGGCAGGGAAGGTTGCAAATGGCAATCACATAATCACGGGGTGCTTGGCAACTGGTCCTAAGTGCAAATAGGTTACCAAGTACCCGGACTATGATCATGTGACCACGGGGGTGCTGGGACAGCCGTAACTCTGAGGACCAATTGTAATCACCATTCATTCAGCACTGTCATAATTTTGAATGGTCGCTGAACTAATGGTCCTAAGTCGAGGACTACTTGTAACAAGGTTTATCATGACTTAATTTGATTTCCTGCTCTGAGAGAACAGCTGGCTTCTCCCTTTATGCTAATCCATATTACTGTTTGTTCCTTAGGTTAGTATGATATGTAAATGGTGGAGAAGTGTAAGGCAGTAAGCCATAATTTGAAACATGGTTTGTTGTTGGGTTACTGACTGCAACTATGACCAAGTGTGATGATATGCAAATGGAGACACATGATTTGTGTTTTCTTGGCTTATTCCTACTTCTGTTTTTGTGCCCTGCCTAAGCATCTAATGAGGTCACAGAGGTGCAAGGCAATAACTTAAAAAGGAAGGAAAACAAACCAGGAATTGATCAGACAAGCCACAATTGCTTTACGTGTCTGCAAGAAATCTTAGTTAATTCATAACCCATGACTTAGTGTGAGGTTTGTAAATGCAGCTAGTATATTATTAACTGCATTTTTAGGGATCAATTAAACATAATTTACACAAGTACCTAACACTGCTTAGACTAAGAGAACAGTATGAAGGAAATTTGAATGTTGTATTTTTGCAGAATATTCAGAATTCTTTTTTTTTCTTGTATTATGTCAATATGGATTGGTTTAAGATTATTTTTAGTATTGAATTAAACTTCTTTGTGCAAACTGAGCTAGTTAGACTAAAAAGTAAAGATTCCATTGAGTCTTTTGTTCCCAGTGACTATGTATCTATGTAGCTTTATTGGCAACAATATGGGAATGTTTGCCACTGATCTCTCCTGGAGTGATTTTGTTTCCCTGACTTTCCAGTCTAATCTACAGCCCTAAGAGTTCTTCATGGTCTCCCACCCAAGGATTAATCAGCTCCAATTTTGCTTATTTAGCCAAGGATGCCAGCTGTGACTACTGCTTGGTTAAGAGGCTGTTTAACCCCTAAATAGGAGTTCTGTCATAAGATAACTAGATGTTTAGGTGATTAGGTAATTATATGATATTTAACCATCACACTGGCCACTAATAAAGGTTTTTAAGTTAGCTAGGCTCTTATCCATTACAACATCAAGCCAAGCACCGTCTTTACGTCAGCTGAAGAACTAACAGATTCACAAAGTAGAACGTACTGCAACACGTATAGCTGAAATTTAAAAACTGAGTCTAAAGGTTGTCAAAACACATCAGGAAAAAAAGTAATTTGATGGGGAACCAAAATCCACTCTTGGTTCCCCAATTCAGTAATGTACATGGGGGGGGGAAGGTATTAATCATTTTTATAGTTTTATTTTACATGGTATTTTATAAATAACTGGGAGTCAAAAGTCCTATGTCAAATCACACAGAGAGAAGATTCTGAGTTATCATCTACTCTCCTTTACTTTTCAGGTAATCTATAATACCTATAGAAAACAGGAAAAACTGTGTGATAAATTCATGCAGACAGTTATTTCCACATTGTGCCTGTAAGATGATGATAGTAAGAGGCTAGTATGTAACAACTACACCAGCTCAAACAGTTCTCTATTGTTTTTCATAGCAATTCTAAGCTGTGCATTGTATGGTAATTAGGATTCAATTTATAAACCAGAATTAACATAGATACCAGCAAATGCTCCAAAAACATCCACGACAGTTTTGTGCCTCTTTGATTATTCATCTGTGAATCTGTGATGATTGTTCAGCTCCAGAATCTCCAACTAATTTCAGCAATTATTGCCAATATTTTTATTAAGACCTAAAGAAGTGGGGGGAGGTATGTTATTCAGCCATACAAACATATAATGAAGAGAAAGAAATCAAGAAGATCACATATTATAAAACTAACAAGAACTGTTGATCTAAAGAAAATAGTTTTACAGTCACCCTGAACAATGCATATCCATAGAAGGGCAGGGTTAGAAATCTTAATGTTAAATAAATAAAGAATGAATGGGGATAATCACAATTGCTTGCTTTATAAAAATACAGCTAATACCAAAGTTATCTTATGCATAGTTATTTAAATGAAGGGCCCCTAGTATCTTTAGTCCCCAAACCCTCAGAAGCAGTTTAAAATAAATCCGTAATTGCTTTCACTTGTGACAACTTGCAGTGCTGGAAAAAAAAAAATCGCTGCCCTGCTCTGAGAAGAGAAAGTTCCTTCGCCCTCATTACACTAAAAAGGGAAAGAGAAGAAGAAGAAGAAAAGAAAAAAAACTAGCCTAGCCTAGCAAAGCTATTCAGGCCAGCAGTTCCAGTGCTGAAGAGGAGGAATCTGGAAAAAAAACCCCACTGGTTAATTTAACCCCTGCTCCTTTCCTCTAGGCTACTGAGAGGAGTGGCAGGGCTGGCATGCAAGCATTTCCCCTATGTGCTCAACCGCCAGAAGCAAGGTTATGGCAAGAACTCCTCCAATGGGGAAATGAAAGCAGAGCATTTTTAAAAAAAGCTCTTCATTTCACAGTGGTTTCAGCTACCCCTTCACCAAAGCTGGAAATAAAGCAGGTTAGCTTTCTAGCACGGCTGACTCTGAGGGATCATGAGGATCCAGAGCACCTTTCAAACCAGTGCAGAATCCCTCAGCTTATGTGGAAGTGCCCATCGTTTTATTGGATTCGAGATTAATTTCCTGTTAATCTGCTTTATGTTCTCACGGCAGCCAACTTCAGTTTTGTACACCCAGGATGGAATATGGCATTGAAGAAAAAAACCACACGCTATTCTAGAAGAGATGAGGCAGCTGTCACCCTGTCTAGACATGCCTTTACTCACTAACCTTTTACAACAGCAGAAGATATTTACAAGACTCTCATCTTCTAATCTGTATCTTCCAGAGTTTGGCAGATCTTTGCACTGTGCTATGAATGAATGAAGTTCTGTCTCCGGAAAGCCTTCATGCTGGTAATGCTAAAAAAGAGTGTCATTTCGCATCAGTTTAGAGCAACTAAGTGGCTATTAAGTGGTTATGAAAAACACAATTTTTAAAGAGGTATTGGGTGAGGAAAAAAAGGGAAGGTTAGAGAGGGTTTCTCATGGTGAGGAAGAAACTATTGGGTAAGTAGAAAAGTGAGGTTCTTGCAAATTGTTTCCCATCCACCTTTCCCCCAAGATTCCACATACTGATTAGAGATTAGGGGTGCACTTGTAAACTGCCTTTCATCTGGCTTCAAAGCACTGGTAGAAATGACAGGGGCACACAACTTAGAGAGAAGAGAGAAATTCTGAAATCAAAAGTCACCTTCAAGCTGAGCTCAACTCCTGGTGATTTACATGGATGCATCTATGCAGGGGTGTGTTTTTTTTGCACAGGAATGATAAGGAAGTGATTTGATTTTGCCATCTTCCAGGATGTTTTTTCAGCCTATGGCGCTGGACTTTCCAAGTGGTCCCCAATATGAGGGCTAACCAGGGCCAGACCTGCTTTGGCTTGTCAAATCAAAAGTGAGCTAGGTGCTGCCGGCTGCTAAGGCAGTTATTAAATACATAGGGAAGGGGTAATCATGGGAGCTGTATTTGATTAAATGTAATTGTAATTCAATTTAAACTAACATGAACTTAAAATTCTTTGACCTCGAGTCTTCTCGTGTCTGGAATGCTGCAAGGGTGTTCAAGTGAAGCCAATGGCTTTTCTTTCTTTTTTTTCCATTCAGCTTAGGGCCTACAGAGGATATTAGGAAGTTGGGCCCCCCGCTGACAGGTGTGTCTTCTCTAAATCAACTATCTTGTGAAGAGATTCCCTCATATTATAGAAGATGGGGATGGAAGGAGGAATTGTCTTCATAGTACATGTCCTGTCACCCAAAGGAAACTCAACATAGCAGCTCTGATTAAACAATAGCTGGGAAATTAAGTGATAGGTTAATAGCCTTAACCCTCTGACTTGGTCTCTCTTTAGAATCAGGCCCACCATTCTAGCAAACAAGATTTATATACAAAAATCAGTCATCACCACAGGCATGGGATAAATGATGACACTGAATCATGATGCCATCATGTAAATGACCCACTTTCTTACTTGCAGCAGATATCATGATGTCATTACAGCTCTGGGTCATTTGCATGATGATGTCATGATGTAGCTCTCATTGTCCTGAAATCATTGTGGGTTGTTATGGATGCTGCCGGCCAACACATCAAACTCCACTGGACTGGAGAATTAAGAAGAATGGGAAAGGAAGGGAAAACACTCTGTCCTGATGCTATTTTCATCCCATGCTGAAATTCTTGCAAAGAGATAGAACATCTTTGTGTGCACAGAAGACTAATTAAATAAATAAAATCACTTGATATTCAGAAAAAAGTTTCAGAACTTTTTGAAATTCACATTTAAAAAGTTAAACATAACGTCCTATGGTAAATGTCTATGTACCTTAATGGTTTCATACGTGTCTGTAATTAGGGCAATGAAGAGACTCAGAACCATGTAGATAAAGAGGCTAATGAAAGAGTAGAGGTAGATCCGACTGAACAGCCATACCAGATAGCTTTTCTGCTGCATTTTTGCAAAGGTAGCAAACATGTCATCTCCATTTATCAAGGAGAAAAGACACTCAGAAACCATATTCAAGGTATGGAACTAGAAGAGAAATATTCAGGAACAAACAGACAAAACAAAACAAAACGAACATTATTTACATTTTTGTTCAAGTTGTTTAAAAGATACTGGCCAAATAAACTGCAAAGAAATGTGACATGTTTTACCCAATAACACACCTTAAAAAACTCTGGATATTACAATATTTTATGAATGTCTGCATCAATGTCTCAGATGATAGAGAGTAAATATTTACATATGACAACTTCATATTCCAGTGAGAATATATAAAGTTATATAACTAAAGAGATAAACTGGCCCTTTCAGGTATCTTGGTAGCATGCTCATTTCGTTAAATGACTTATGTGCACTTTACATACTTCAGATACAAAACTAGAGCAAGCATCACAAACATCTAAATCACAGTACCTTAGCATGATACGGGCCCAGTACAATCCAGCCACAGAAGCAATAGCCCAGATAAATCATAGCTGCACAGCAGCAAAACCGAATGACGTTGGGCAATGCTGCACGGAGAGTCAAAATAAGCAGCTGAAAAACAAGGCCCAACAAATACCCAGAATTGCCCATTAGACTTTCAAAAGGCATTCAGTACCACTAGGTAATATAAGAAAGAAATACTAATAGCATGGAAGTCCCAGAAGACCCTTACATTATACTTCTGAAAGAAGCTGAGGTAGCGGATCACTCCAAGCCACACGAGCATGGTGGAAGTTCCTAAGAGGATACTACAGACATCATAGCTTGTCAGACTCTGCATGAAGATTAAGATGATGTTCAGTAAGTTACACAGACTGCATTTCAGGTGAGATGCCGAGAAAAAAAAGCTTCCATATTCATTTTAAGACTGAGGACACAATATTTTTGCTGGATTAGCAGACAGACAAAACCATCCCTGGAAGGCTTGGGATATTAAAAAAAATGGGATAAAGAGTTACAGAGGTTGGGTAGGGATGATGTGCACAGATGCTGCTCGTTCCTAATTTACAATGCCATTATTGTGGATAGATAAAAATATAGCTAGAAAATTCCCTTCTCTGGAGCAGCAATCTTCTCAATCTGACCATTTCCCCCAGTTGAAGGCTCAACTGAACTATCAAAATAAGAAATTTCAGGCTGGCCAATATGATTTCACTTAGGAGTTCCAAAACAGAAGGAGGTATTGGAAGATGGGTCTTGGTCACCTAATCAGCATGCAGGTCACTTACCTTAGCCTGTATCTCCATCTTTAACGTAGAACCAATTATGGTAAGAAGGTCACTGACTATGATCATGATATACCATCCATTGACAAATTCCATCAGATCAGTGAAAGATACTTCTTTCTTATAGTGATGTTGGAAAAAAGTCACAAATTCCTAAGGTATGTGAGTGGGCAAGAAAAGAGAAATTGCTGTTGAGAAGCTGCAATTACATTTATTAAGAGATACTGACATACATAAGCTTACCCTTTGTAGACGAATTCCTTTAATTACAGATCGTGTGCAGAGAATCAGTGATGCAAGACATGTCAGTATGACAAAACCATCAAAGATCATCATGTAGTGGGTATTCTTCTGTACTGGAAAAGAAAAAAAGTTTGATTTACTTGTCTATGCAAAAAAATTAACCTAATTCTCTCATAGGTCACACACTCATTTGTGTCTATAGGGGAATTTTCTTCATGAAATTGCCTTGGGAAAGTGCTAGCTATGGAGAAGAGGCCTCCATTCTATTTAATTTTTCAATAAATGTCATTGGAAAAGGGGGGGGTAGGTAATTAAGGTGTTCAGAGCAGTCAAAGAGAAGGAATGCTTCACACAGTACTTCAGTGGTTTAAAGAAAAGCCCTCCGCTGAAACTAGTATTTGCATTGGGGCAAATTTGCCATTGTGGGGAATTACCTTCTAATATAAATACTAACCACACAGAAAGGGACTTTTTTAGGACTACAGGATAGGATGAAATGATGTAACTAATACACACACACACACACTCACTCACTCACTCAC